ATAAAATGATTTAAAAAAAATATTCCCAACTTGTGCCCCCATCCCTCTGGTTCCCTCTCTGCACCCCCCCAACCCCCAACAAGTCTAGAAAACTCCTCTGCCTCAGCAGAGGCCTCATCTCTCCAGCTATTCCCTGTGGAAGCCACCCCACTGCCTTTTGCTGTGTGGAGCTGTTTCCATGGAAGCCAAGGGGGAGGGAAAAGGCCCCAGATGTGATAGGCACCGTCCCCCACCCCTGGCTCAGCCAGCAGCCTATGTCCTGATTCTTGGGGCTACAGATCCTAGTCTTCCCAAGGGATCTTTTATCCCAGCTCGGTTTCCCTCCCTGCATCACCCTGGGGACCAGTGGGTGCTAAGTGACAGCTCACCCATCTGGACGTCCCGATCGAGACTTCCAGAGTTCACACTTTGGAGCTGGTCATCACACTTAGTGGCCCAACATGTGGATCACAGCAGACTGCATCAGGACAGGCAGTCGTCTCCATGGTAGCCTGGTCCCAAAGCTCTGGGGACTCAGTGGTGAGCCCATGACTCTGAGAGAGAAGCTGGGGTTCCCTTTCCCTGACCCCATCTCCACACAGCAGGTCAGAGCAGAGGCTCATCAAACAAGAGGCTTTATTTCTCTGTCTGGAGGCCTCTGTTCGGGAAGTTGAACCCAAGCAAACCTGGCCCTAGCAGAGCCCCAGGAGCCCGTTTCTCCCCACCACAGCAATTCCTTTCCCCACATGCCACAGGGGGCAGGGAGGCAGGACAGCAAGGCCCGTGTCTGTGCAGTCAAACCGTGTTGGGGTGTCAAGCCATTGGAGGGGCTCCCAGAGCAAGTGCAATGAGCCCAGACCCAGGTCTGGTGGGCAGGGTGCCTGAGCAGGTCCTCAGGACCGGGTGTCTCTGTCTCTCGCCCGTCTCCGGGGTCGGGGTCCGGAGTTGGAGCGCGGGATGGAGCCCAGGCCAGGGGGTGCTCCCGGGGGCTGATAGCCACATTCATTGGGGTCCAGAGGTTCTCGGCTGAGTAGTACCCACACAGCAGGCACATGGCGGCGCACCGTGAGGGGGTCGAGGCCTGCGTCAGGCGAAGCAGGGACCCAGCTGTCCTCAGTCTCCAGGAAGCGTAGCTTGGTGAGCTGGTGGAGGCCTGGGACCCTCCGCTTGACGATCTCAGCACAGCTGACCGCCTTCCCGGTGGCCCGGCCAGACCCGGAGAACACCACGTGGCGGGTGCTGCCCGCTTCCAACTGCCCCAGTGCCAGCTCCAGCAGGTTCCGGATCTTACTGCCATCTTGGACCCGCATCTGCAGGGTATCAGGAGGGAGCTGGGGCATCGGGGAGGGCGCAGGCAGTTGCACGGAGCCCGCTTTTCGGTAGTGCTCCATGCCGCGGCCTGGGTGTCTGGGCGTCGCGGAGCCTCGCTGCCCACTGCTGGGAAACAAGCGCCAGTGAGCGCGGGGAGGCACGCCCCCGGCCACCCCCATCCTGCTCTCTAGGACCCGGCCTTACTCCTCGTCCCAGACTCCCAGGGAACAGGGTGAGATCCCCAACCCCCAACTTCTCCGGGCAGGGTCATGCCAGTGTCAGCCTGGCTGCGGCTGTTCCCCTGCACAGCGCCGGATCCCCCTCCCACCGTGGAGTCCGTGGGAGCGGATCCAGCTCCCCAAGCCCTGGACCCGCTGGGACAGTGCCCCGAGCGCCCTCTCCATAAACTCCCTCCGGGGCGTCCCAAACCCAGCGCTGACCCCTCCCCGCGGGGCTTTAGACGAGGGCCGGGAAGCGCTCATCCCGAGACGCCGGGGGTCAGGCGCGGGCCCTTCCCCCCAGGTCACTCCAACTTGGGGGCAGAGGCTCGGCTTGGCGCGGCCAGC